AATCTTATTGTTAGAACTGAAAAAAAAAGAAGCCATTTTCACAAAACATATCACATTATAGATTTTCCACAAAAACAAAAATTCATAAAGTAATGTGTGTAAAGTTCACTAATAATTTTGAAGCTGTGAATAGTGATACTGAATGCACTAATACAACAATCTGTACCAGTTACTGATGAAATAATTATAAAATCCAAGTGCAATGATACTGATTCACTTAAACAGGAAAGGGGAGTAGACTGAAAAAGTTTCTGTGATTGTGGAAAAGAACGAAAATTTAATTCCTATTGTCAATTGGACCTAGAACTTTTACCAGTCGTGAAGCACTGAGCACCTTTTGAGACTTAAACTCAACTGAGACCCACAAGTGGAACTCATAGATACGATCTATTGCTAAAGATACTGGGAAAATGGTCAGTCCCATGTACTGTTCCAGCAAGTGCCTCACTCCCCCTGCTATCCTGTATCTTTACAAGTGTCAGATCAAACCAAAAATAGAGTACTGCTGTTATATATGGATAGAAGCCACCCAGTCTTCACTTTCTACTCTCAATAGAGACCAAAAGCCTCTCTGCATCTTTGTAGGAAACAAATTATTTTCCATTCTGCAACATCTTTCTCACAGACAAGATGTCATAAGCCTCTTATGGGTCTATTGCTATTTCCATGGTGATTGTTCAGATGAGCTATACTTCTTAGTTCCACTTGTCCTAAACTTTTATCAAACCACCCTCATTCCCTTCATATCACCCCTAGTGAGATGTAAGTTCCACTCAAGCAACTTCTTTCCATGAACTGCTGCCTTATGGGACTGACTCCCAAGAGGCTGTATTCCTGATCACTACAATCTTAAACTGTTCAAACCTAGGCTTAACTGTCATCTTCCACACATATCTGCATAAGCTGTACTTCTTGTTCTGTAATCTTCTACTTTGTGTGGTCCCAGGGTGAACACCAATATATATTAAAAAAAATAAACCTAAAAGCATATCACGACTTTAGTAGTGATCATGATCTAGATTATGATGTCATAGGTCTGTGGTAAATAGCAATAGGGAGGTTCAGATCCAAAAGTCATAAATCAGTATTGTAAATCCAATATCAGAAAATGCTGAGGATATAAATCAAAAGGGTCAAAAATACACATCACAACTCGCAATGCACAATTACCTTCTTCACCCACAAAGAGCCAAGCAATCCTGTGGTCCAAAGTAGTGCTCTTTTATTGGTGTAAGAAACAATGTGATCAGTCAAGACTGCTAGGGAAGCACAATTACCATATTTCAAGGCCTACTAAAATTGACCCATTCTTGATTCTGATTTTCTTTTTTAACAGATAGTACAGAGAACACAAATTTTTTTCAAGGTAAAATAAACACTGATTAAAGTCAAGAGTTCCAGGGTATAAAAAGAAAGTGAAAATATTGATGATAATGACAAAGTAATCCTATTGAGAAAGTGTAGTAAAAATAAAGTGAACTGTCACAAATTCACAGAGTTGCACATCCAAATAGTCACAAATCCACTTTTTTTTCAACTCCATATTTGTTCACTGCCACTGACTTTATATGCATTTGAAGGCAGATACACTAATAATAGTGTGTGCTTTAAGAATTTGTAATGAAAGTCATGTCAACAAAATTGACTAACCTCTGAGGCTGACAACACTTCCAGAATTTTATCTTCAATTTCTTTTAATTGCTTATTATTTGCTGCACTTTCAAGAATGAGTTCATTTTTCTTTTCTTCCAGTTCTGGTTTCTCTTTGGCAGCCACAATGCCAAGCAGCTGATCCTGAAGTCCTTGAGGAGTGATCATAAAGTTCAACAGACACACCTATTTTTAGGAAAAAAGAACAATAAACAAAAAGGAGCTTTAAATATTACTGTAAAAGTGTTTGGTAATCATACTTTCAAAGAGGAGTATCACCAACAAAAAGAGGAGAAAATTTTTAAATGGACATCAAGGGAAAATAAAAATTAGAATCTCATAAAACAAAAAATTATGAAAGAAAAATAGCTGCCAATTAATTTCTAACATAATCCTCTCTTTGTGACCTACATAATACTGTAGTAAGTTTTGATCTGATGGAGTAGAAGGGTTTTTACTGGGAGAATGAAGTGCTCTAAAATAAAAAAATCCAAAAATCAAGATAGTCGGAGTCTTGCAGCTGATCTCTCTTCTGATCTTGCTCTAAAGGCTCCATGGGGGAAAAAACTGAAAAAAAAAAACAAAAAAAAACATACACACACATTGTGTCAATCTGGCTTCAATCTGTTAGGCCTCAAATTCACCCTAAACCTCAAGTGGAACTCATATAAATGATCTATTGCTAAAGATGGTGGAAAAATGGGCAGCTCATTCTATCACCCCAGAAATTCATTTTATCTTTACAATAGTCAGAACAGGTCAAAAATGGGAATTGTTGCCCTATTTGGGCTAGAACTGCTAAATTCTCCCTTTCCAACCTTGACAGAGTTCAAAATTGTTTAGGCAGTCCTGTGGGAGAAAATTTATTATTTTCTACTCTGCAGCCTCTTTCCCAGAGAGCAAGCCTGTCACTACTATATTATTTCCATGGCAGATGTTCAGATGAACTCTAAGTTTATTTTTTTTAATTCCACCAATTCAGACCTTTAAAGCTAGGACATGCCATGCCATGCTGCTTCCATGAAATCACATCACCCACCTTTTCTCCATGTTTCAAATGTAACAAGAACGTTCCATTCCGATATACTTTCCCCCAGAAGTGTCACTTTGTAGAAGAGACTCCCACATAGGTGCTTTCCTGAACACATTAATTTTGATTTCTTCAAGTCAAGGATCAATTCTTATCTATCATAATCATAATCTTCACTACCTACCGCTGTCTCTTCCATTCATATCACATACCTCATTCATCATTACCATTTCAAATGTAACCCTGTACCTTGAGTGGCTCTCAAGTTATGTATTGCGTGAAATGTAGTTAAAAAAATGATTTTGTTGATAGATTTCTCAAAATAAAGTGTTTTTAATTAACTATTTTCAAAAAAGTAAGGCAATAAACAAAGAATATTTTGTCACCCTTTGAAAATAAAAATATCATTTCCCTTTCTAAAGAATTATCAAGTCCTTTCTATATTTCAGTAACTGAACCTAAATCATCAAAGAAAATGTAAATAAATGCTGCAGAGAGAAATGTAAACAAAATAATTGATAACTGTCTCACATGGTCAATTACTATTTGAGTTGGATGTTTTTAATCAATCCTTGTATTCTTAAATAAATAGGCAAAATGAACCAAAAGAAAAAATTGGGAGAATAACCTTTACAGATACTTCAGGAAGGTAATGAGGGTTTCGAAGCCGTGTTGTGATATAAAGTCGGAAATCATGAGAATATTCTATAACATTGTCACCCAAGCGCAGGTATTCAACTCCTTGTTGTTTGAAGGTTGATTTCTGTAAGACTGGTTCCAGAAGAGGGTCCAATTCTTCACCCACATTTTCCAGGAGGAGGGGAGTGCCAAACTGGATGCAATTCTCTAATGTTCGTACATAATTGGCATCTGATAATTTAATGACAGCCAATTTATTTGATTTCTCCATGTCTTTTATCCATTTGTTTGCTTGGCCTAAAATGTCACAAATATAATTGTAGATGTGGAAACATTTCATATAAAAATGAAGCAATCAGTAACATGCAGAAAACAAGGGTTTTGTAAAAATGTCTGTAAATATTTTATAATAAAAGATGCTTAAAACAAGAAAAAATGTATATTTAAATAATAGTTCATTTTGGATATGATCTTTGGATATTAAATATTCATTTATTTTTGGATATTGAACATTCATTTACTCTTATCAAATTTTCAGTTCTCAAGAATTGCAGGATATTGTTAGTGTATGTTATTTCATATCTTCAAATTTTTATTCATTTTAAGAATTTCATAATCTTTCTTGTATTTTTATTAGGATGAAGGTCATTACATGTTTGATATTTTGATAGACATCTTAAAATAGAATTCTGGACTGTACTTGAGGATGAGGAGTTATTATTATTTACATTTGGACTAATGTCCTCATTTTTGTTATTAGATTTAGTTGATTAAAGCATTGCTTTGTGAACTTGGTGACATAGTGAGTTCAATCTCTGGGTTGAATAGTACAGATAGAATGCTGTGCTAATAACAACAAAGATGAGAACATTAGTCTGAATATAAATAATGACTGTACACTTGTCCAAGTTAATAATCATACATTAATGTTTAAAATATTCATAGTCTTGAAACATTTGATAATTTTGTGGGTCTTTTCAATTTATTCTTACCACCAAAATTAAGTTTGTTTTGACTGATAAGAAAAAAAAATGAAAGTATGATGACATCAAAATCAAGAAAGTGTTTTTTATTTTTGAATTTAGAAAGGAAAATCTTTTTTTTGTTTGAAACTGTATTTTATAAAATATTTTTTTTCAAAATAAAAAAATAAAATTCTTCCATTATTGGATTTTTTTCATTTGGCTTTATCTTATTTTCTGGTCCATAATTTTTAAAAATCTGAATATGATGGTAAATATTATATCTGTATAAAAGATAAGGCCTAAATGTTTTTTTGCAAGAAAATTTGTTTTAAAAAGCAACAAATTAATTATCAAAAAAATACATTATTTAATGCATTTTATTTTTTAATAAATTTTTATGAATAGAAAATAAATTTTTAATTTATATTGGTTTGGTTTATTTTTTATTTTCCAAATGGCATCTGTAATCAAATAGTTTATGGGTTATTTAATGCTTTCAGACAAAATTTTTTATGTTGGTAATATTTTGTTTTGTTTTAAAAATTTTTTCTGATAATTTAAAGTTTCATCTTCTATTGAAAATGGTAATAATATTTTTCAAAAATGTATTGATTTAATATTAAAATTTGCCCAAACCTATTACCCTTTAAATTTTTTACAAAAAAGACCTGGAAATGTTTCAAATTTTTATAAAATTCATTTGTAATGAAACCTCTATTTATTTTCAATTTTCATTTAACTTTTAACGTCTTAAAAATGACAGCCTAAATTCAATTTAATAGCAAATTTGTAATGTCCATAATCAATGCATTTTTTGCTTTTTACTTTCTTAAATTAAATTTATTGTTTGTATGTATTTCCCGCATCAACAAGGGTTTTGAAGGCTCAAAAATTTTTTCAGTGCTTTTTTAAAAAAACTATTCAAACAGGCAAAAGAATGAAAGTTTGGAATCAAAAAAAAATTTAAATTTTTCACTTAACATATGATTTAAAGTTTTAAAAAGTTTCAAATTTTTGAAAAAAAATGTCAAAAAAACCAAAAAACAAGAACTGAGTCTGTTTTTTTGTCAATATTTAATTTTTATCATTTTATAAACAACAAAATAATAAAAATTTATTTTATTCAATCTGCAAAAATATATTCTTTTTATGACAAGCTGTTCTGCTGTTGATTAAATAAAAAAAATAAATGGTTTTTTTTTTGACATGTCTGCAAATGATCATTTTTATTTTTTTAAATATTGTTTACTGATTCTTTATCAATATTGCCTTTCTGTTTATTGATGAATTGTTAAAGAAAAATTCAACTCCATATAAATTAATAATCACTGTTTATAAAATTAACCATGATTCAAAAAAAAAATTTTAAGTATAGAACATGATTTTTTTTTTTTTTTAAAAAAAAAAAAGAAACAAAAATATTCAAAAAAATTTTTTGTTGAAGTTTTTTTTTTTTTTATTACTTTTAATATTAATATTAGGATTTTTGTTTTGTTTAAAATTATCTACACCATATAAAATAAAAAATACAAAAAAATGGGGAAAATATATATAAAAAAATAAAAAAAATTTTTGTGTTTCATTTCTTTCATTATTCTACTTTTTTAATTTGTTATTTTGATAAACTACATAATTTTTTATAATTTAAAATTTTATATGTTTATTTTTTAAATTTTTTCTATTTTTTTTTTTATTAAAATTTAAGATTTTCTTGATTTTTTTTTTTATATAATTTTATAAAAAAAATTTTGAAATATTTAAAAATCCCATATATTTTTTGTCTGCAATTTAATATATTAAAATACTTAATTCCAACTTCTAAATCAAAAATAAATTATTATTTTCCAAAAGAAAGATCCAATTTTTAAATTATTTTTTTTAAAAATTCTTTTTTATTAAAAAATATTTTATCAATAAATAAAATTCACATTAAAAAAAAAAGTTGATGTAAAAATAATTATAAAAAATTTTTTCAATATTTTTAATTTTTTATCAACTAAAAATATTTGATTTATTAAACTTTTAATTTTTTTATCATTTATATCTATTATATCAATGTTTATGATCTAAATGATTATTGCATAAAAATCATAATTGAAATTATCCAAAAATTCAAAATAAATTTTACATTTTTAATTTTTTCTTAAATTTTTTTGGTTTTTCAAAGAAAAAATTATGCTTTATTTATAAAAATAAAATAAAAAAAGAAAATAAAAGTTATTTTCAAAATACTTTTCCTTGATTTTCAGTTTAATAAAAATGTGATAAAACATAAAAAGTTTATAAAATAAACCATTATCAACCATAATGGTATGTAAAAAAAAATCTTTCAATTTTTATTTTAATTTCAAAATTTTCAAAGATTTTAAAAACTTATTATTGGTCTATAATCATAAAAAGTTTGAATGTTCCAAATATAGGCTACCACATTGGAAAATTGTTAAATTCAATTTGTTATTTTTTTCATTCATTTGTTTAAATGTTTAATATTAAAATTTAATGTTCATTTGACCTGAAAAGCCTTTCCCAATTAACTTTTTAAACCAAAACAAAAAAAATTTCTTTTAAACAAAAAAAATTTTTATTTTTTTCTTTTTTTTTTGATGTTAAAAAATTTATTTGAAAAAAATTTTTTATTTTTTACACATGTTTAGAAAAAAATTTTAAATTTAATATTTTTTGAATTAAATTTCTTGTTTTTAAAAAAATTTTTTCAGATAAAATGAAAATAACAAATAAAAAAAAAAATTATTACAAAATATTAAAAAAAATTTTGGTGCCTGTCATATTTGGAAAAAAACCTTAAAATTTCACAAATTTTATTCAGTCATTCAAAAGTAAAATTCTTTAAAAGTGTTCAAATTTTTTAACTTGTTTTTTAAAAATTTCTTCAAAAATTTTGTCAAAATCAAAAATGATTTTATACAAAAAGTTCTTTTATATTGATAACTGAAAATGTTAAAAAAAAATAAAAATTTTGTTAATTATTTAAAATCCAAAGGTTCAAAAAAAAGCAAATAAATTTAAAACAGTTAAAAAACTAATTCATTTTTTAAAAAATGTTTAGAAATTTATATTTAAAATAAAAACATTGGTCTTTAAAAAAATTTGAATTATGCAATTATCATACCAAAAAATACATTTTTTTAAAACAAAAATGAATTTTTCACAAAAAATTTCATTTCCTTCCTTTAAATTTAAGTGTAATAAATTATGTATAATAATCAAAAAAATAATAAAATTTTTAATGTTAATAAAAGGAAAATTAAAAGATACTATTATAAAAATTATCTAATATAAAAAAAGAATCCAAAATTAATTTACTGAAACAAAAAACAAACAAACATATTTGATAAAAAATTTTTTTATCATTTTTAAAAAAATCTATTTTTAATTTAAAAAATGTTTTATTCAATAAATTTTATTTCAAAATAGTAAATATTTATATATATATACAGGGTGCAATGGATAAATTGTCATCTAAATTATGCAAAAATGAAAATAACACTGACATCTCATTTTAACAGATATATTTACCAAAATTGCAGAAAAATATCTTGAAATATAAAAGAGTAAATTTATTCAATAAAATCACCATTGGCTTCAACCACATTACCTCCAGACAACTTTGGAATCTCCTGCAACTCTTCTGGATGGTCTCCTTGTTTAAGTTGGTGAATGCTGCCATAATCCTTGCCTTCAGTTCATCATTGGTGTTACAAGGAGTTTTGTTAGTCTCTCACTCAGCTGCACCCCACACATAATAATCAAGGGGTTGCAGTCTGATGAGTTAGGTGGCCAGATGTAAAGGGTGATGTGGTCAAAGAAATTGTCTGACAGCCATGACTGGGTTCTCCTGCTTGTGTGGCATGGTGCAGAGTCCTGTTGCCAGACATAGGGTCTTCCAGCAGCCACCCTCTTGACCCAGGGCAGCACTACCTCCTCAAAGGCACTTGATGTAGGCCTCCATGTTGAGTCTGAGGCCCTGTGGGAAGATGAATTGGGGAGTTCTTTTCTTATCAGAATCATCAGTGATCAGTTTTCCAAACTGCCATACCTTTGTAATCACCATTAGACTCATCCAACTCTTTCCTGAATCCTCTGCACTGTCCTCAGATTGACACCCAAAACTCTGAAATGTTTGTATTGGAGCTTCCAGCATGAATGCCAAACAGTACAGCATGCCATTTCAAATTTCTGGTGGAGTGAATTGCATCATGGTGCTCTTTTTTTCACAGACAGTGCCCAACTGACCCTACTATACTGTGCAGTCAACAAAATCAAAAACAAACAATGCATGCATGTGAAATTAAAAAATATAAAATGGTGACAATTTACCCATCGCACCCTGTATATAAATTTCATGTTTAAAACTTTTTGAATAATATATAAATATTTCAACTAAATTTGTGTTGAAAAAATATCAATATTTGATCATCAAGATTTTTTAATCATTGTGTTTGTTTTGGCTAAAATTAAAAAAAAATTAAAATTTCTATCTTAAATTTTCAAAATTTATATTAAAATTTTATGAATAAAAAAAAGGATATCAGTTTTTTTGTTTGAAACCAGGTTGTTTGAATTAAAAATAAAAAATTGAATAAAAACTATTTTCATTCATAAATAAATTTGAAAATTTTATTTGAAAAACATTTTTTTTATTTTTTTCATTAAACTGTGAAATGCAAATATAATTGTAACATCTTCCATGGAATTTTGACTAACAATGAATTTGACCATTTAAATTTTTCCTTTTTTTTAAAATATGTCAAATAATGTTGTTTGAATTTTTTTTGGAAATATAAAAAAATAATGCTAATGAATCAAAATAACTTTTTCTATATTATTTAAAACAAAAAAATATAAATTAGTCTTTTCCCAAAGGCAACTGTCACTGGATTCAATTTTTTTATTTGTATAATGCCATTTCATATAAATAAAATTTTAAAAAATGAATAATGCAAAAATTGAATAATAAATATTATCAATATATCCTAATCAAACAATATTGTCCAAATATTTTTTAATATTTAATTTCTATCCTTAAAGTTTCTTCAAACTGTATATTTGGTAAAATAAAAAAAAAAAATAACTTTACAGATAATGAAAATTTAAGACTTTCAGATTTAAAATTATAACCATGAAGGAAACTTTTTATTGAATTTTTATATAAATATATAAGGTCATTTAACCATTGATGTTACTTTTTAACTTTGAACAAAAAATCACTGAAATCATCATTCAATTTTTTAAATCTTAAAAATGAGGTTAATCTGGTGCCTGAAATGTTAATTAAATTTTAATTTTTTAACAAAAATAAAAACAAAAGAGAATTGTTTAACATACCTCTTTTAATGGTTTTTTTTTAAATTTACCAAGAGTTTGAAAATTTGATTGGCTTTTTCATTTTCTTTTTATAAAAAGAATTTTTTTTAGGGAAAAAAATTTTTTTTGTCTTAATTTATTCATACTGAAATAATCTCTGATCCAAAACATAATTTTAACTTTGTTATGAACATTTTTTTTTTCATTTGGATCAAAATCTGGATTGGGAATATAGCTGTAAAAAAAATGATGAAATAAATTCGTTATTTGATTTATTTTTTTTATTTACTTTGAATATATTTCTCATACTGGTTGCATATCTTATTAAAATGAAAATTTTTTTTAAAAATGTTTTAATTATAAACTTTATATATATATATATATATATATATATATATATATATATATATATATATATATATATATAATGTGACATACATAAACAAACACAAACAAAAACACATTATAAAATATCTTGTTTCCATTTTTTTAAAAGTCAATTTTGAAGAAATCCTTTGATCTTCTTTTGGGTTCAATTATTAACAATTTGGAACCATTATAAGTAGCAGGAAATTAAAAATTCAAAATCATCAAAAAAAGCTGTTTATTTTATAAACCTAAATATTCATAATACAATTTCTCAAACTAATGCATTTATGTTTAGAGAGATGTTATTATTTATTAATCAAAAGGCTATTTGTATAACTGTCTATTAAAACTTCCTTTTATTCTCTTTATTTCCAATGATCATTCATAAATAATAAAAACATATTTGTTTTTAAAAACAATGAAAACAATTTATTTAAAATAAATATAATATAAATAAATAAATAATAAATTAGTGTTTTTAAATATAAATGAAATTTGAGGAATGGAAATAAATTTGAAAATTTAAGAGAATAACAAAAATACTGGAATAAATTACAAATTAAAGATTAAACAGAATTTTATCATCAAAAAGTTCAATGCACATTTTTCTTTTTGAAAACAGAACTTTGACCAAATAAATTTTTTTTTGTTCATAGTTAATTTTTTTATTAATCCTTAATCCAATTCTCCCAATATCCTATCTCAATAATTGTCATCTAGAAATGGTCTTATTATTGGTATGATCTAATTATAGACATGAGTTAAAAAAATAATAAAATGGTGATGCTTCATGTTTTTTTTATAAATTATAACAAATAGGAATGTTTTATTTTTATTATTTTTTTATTAATCTTTTTTTTTATATTTACTACGAGATTGAAAACAAAATTTCAAAAAATTTTTATTTGAAACAAAAAATATGGAAACATATACAATGTGTAGCTTGAAGCGGAATACAATCATGTGTTTCTAAAAAAAAAGTTTGGCTTGTAATTCCAAACCCTGTTTGAAAACTTATGAACTTTTCAAAAATAAAAATTCAGTTGGTTTTTAATAACTCAATCTTGATAATGGAAATCCTTTTTTATATGATTTAGTGTTTTCACCAGACAATAAACCATTTTTTTACTTTAATAATTCAAAATAACAACATACAATAAAAATTTAGTTTCTTTATCATTTTGAACTCAGTAATGTGAAGAATTTTTATTTTGATTGTAGCAAAGATCTTTTTGGTTCAAACAAGTATCTATTCTATAAATCTTTGTTAAAAACCATCTGCAATCTTTATGATGATTAAATTTTGATTTTCATTATTTCACTTTAAAAATATTTCTCTGAAATGAATCAATGGAGTCTCTTGTCTAGAATTTGAGTAGATGAATGCACTTCATGTTTTCTTTTAAAAAATGATTAATGTTTAACAGATTATGGGCCTAAAAAAAATTTCAAATAAATTCTAAAAAATAGTTGTTTCTTTCAATGTCATTATAAATTTTTAACGTTTCAGCAAATGATGTGCTTTTTTTAACCTCCTTAATACATTTAGACTGCTTTGAAATTTTCATTTATATGCCATTAACACCAACCAAAAGTAATATATATCCTCTTTGCAATCCTTAAACCAATAAGTAAAGTGAACAAATGAGATACTGTAAAAAATGACCTTTAATTTTTCAAGTTATCCAAAACAAGAACAACAATCTAACATTTTTTTTACACCAAGCCTTCTTAATATTTGAAATTGGCTTGCTTAATGCAGTCAAATATTTCCTGTTTCAATAATGAACTTAGTTAATTTTTTCATGGCTCAGATCTGGTCTAGTTTGAATTGCCAGTCAGTTTAGTTGACCAATCAATTGAATGACTTTTCTAGCCTTTTCTTGTGATATTTTGAGCATTTCAGTTAGTTCCCATCTTGCCCAAGTAATTATACTCTCCATGATTTTGTGTATATTCACTCATAAATTATTGATAAAATCCAAAGAAGAATCTGCAATTTTATCCTTTTTAACCAAGCATCTTGGTTTCATTTACTTTCTCACCACCATAAAGTAGGTTCCTTGTGCTTTTTCTATAAAGATTTTCATGATAATTGTTCTGATGAGCTTTCCTCTTTTGATACCTTTGTGAGGAGAGTTCTTTTTTCATGATCTCTTTATATATATTGGATAATGCCAGATGTAAAGCATGATTATTTTTTGAACTGTAAAACTTTCAACTTTTTTATACGTTAAGTTCCTTTTAATTTTTATTTTATTTTCTGTTTAAATTACTGATTTTTTTTTTGTCAAAAGTTTGATTTTTTCTTTCTTTTCCCTCCCCTCATTTTTTTTTTTTTTTACCTTTATTTTTATTTTTTTAATTTTTAGTTTATAATTATTATATTTTTTATCGTTTTAATTTCCTTTTAATTTTTAGTAACTTCGCCACACCAAATTTGATTTTTCATTGATTATTTTTTCCCCACATCAGACTTTGTTTTCTTTGTTTACATTTTATTTCTACGTGTTTAATTGTTCTTTGTCATTCTTTGTTGTAAATAACTGTTAAATATTCTGTGTTCCTTTATTTAAATCTTTTCTGTGTTTTTGCAATTTTTCGTATTTATTTTTTGTATTTATTTTTCTATTCGTTAGTTCTTCATTTTAGTTTACATTTTTCGTTCATGTTTGGGCTGACTAGAATTTTCTAGTGGCAGCCATATTGTATTTGTGAACTTTTTACTTTCGTATTTACTGTAAAAAGTTTGTTATTATTTATTTTCTGTCTTAATTGGTTTGTCTTTTTTCGCTTACTTGCATTTTGTGATTTGTAAGTAATTTTTAATTGTTAACTGTTTTTATTTTTTACTGTATTTTGTCCTTTTTGTGTACGTATTCTTTTTAAGTAATCCATTCTTGCGCGTTTAACTGTTTTTGTGTTTTCTTGTAAAATTTTCTTGTTTATTGTGATTTATTTGTATTTAGCCTTTGTTTAACTCTTTCTTTTTTAAAATTTATTTCTGATTTTTGTGGGAAAAAAAACAAACTTGTTTTAAAAGAAAAATTATGGGTGCAAAACGAACTGCTCGAAAAAACCTGTTTGGGACTAAAAAAAAGAAAAATGATCCTCCAGACAAAATTCCCGATAAAAAATTAGAAATGGTTGCAGAAGAGACCTCAAAATTAGAGGAAAATCCAATTTCTTCCCAAAATGTAGATGAAAACAATAGGCAAAAGAAAAGTATGGTAGCCACAAATGGCCAAAATTTAGAGCCAGAAACCAGCTCAAATGACCAAACTATGGTGGCTGAAAGTGGTCAAAATTCTTCAAATCAGACCCCCAAGAATGATGACATGAATGTAGTGGTCAGAGAGATGCCCTCTTGCTGGAAGTCTCCACCAAATTGTAAAATCAACATGATGGAGTTCCTGGAGAAAGCCAAGAGCTACGCACATCTGGTGACAGCAGATAGGCTCTTGTCTAATCTTGAGGAATTAAGAAAAGTTGAAAAAAAAATTGTCAGTCTTTGTGGTGGACAAGCGCTCGCGCAAAATTTGTCGCTCCACAAAAGACACTGTGATTAAAGCTTCGACTTCTCTGGGCATTAAAGCTCAGAGGGTCATCAAAGGTAAAGGCTTTTTTATGTGGGACGTACTGTTACCCACGCCTGCCAATTATGAAGTAGCAACCACAAGAGATTTAATAACTAAAGACCTGATTCTGCGGACCGAGTATGAAGGCCGGCAGAGGACCACTATCAGTATACGAGGTTCCTCCTCAGATCCTCGGGGAGCATTTGGCTGCATATCTGTGCCAGTTTGGACAGATACTCAGTGCTTCCTCGGATGATCTGATCAATCGTGTAGAGTTTCGAGTTAATGATCGACAGGAAGGCCTATCATCTCCATCCCCAACTGACTGGATGTAGAGGGCCAGAATATGCCGATAATTGTAACCGGGCATAAACTGGCATACTGGAAGTGTGAACAGTCTGGTCACCTGTCCTCTTCCTGCACAGAGAAGAAGGCCTCTGAAGTTCTGGCCCCCGCCCAACCAAATCCCTCTTTGGTCGAGTCGATACAATCCGTCTCGTAGGCATGCCAGTGACTGGAACCGGTGTGGTAAAACCCCCCGGTTGGGTCCAAATCTCAGCCCCCATTCCCCTAAAAGCCTTTGCCCACCGCTAGTGTGGTTAGGGCAAAGGGAGAGGGGGACTGGCAGGTCAGTGGTAGGGCTAAAGGGAAGACTCAGGCAGTGGGACCTCGTCCCACACCAAAAACAGGCAAAGGCACAAACAGCCCCACTCCCTCAACCAGTGCCAAGGGAGATTCTCCAGCCACCTACTCGGATAAGCTCCAACAAAAAATGATCCAGTATGAACCATCTTTCGAGAAGAAGGAGAAACTACAACAACTTAAGGAGTCTCTAAAATCCAAAAGACAAGTTTTGGAGAAGAAATCTGGCATCTGTTTTCAGCACTAAAAACACTAAACGTCATCCTATGATCCTTCTCCCAATTGTCAAATCATTAAGCCAGGTAACCCGTTTTTGTTCCCTTGCTGGCACTGATTTTTGGCAAGTGAATGAAGCAGGGGTCTATACCCCAACACTTCACCAGGGGCGTAATCAAGTTGTTATGCAAGGACAAAAATGGTGGGGATGGGTTAGGTAACTTTCGCCCTTTAACTATGTTAAACACAGAGTTAAAGATTTTGGCTAAGATCTTGGCTAACCGTTTGCAGGTTGTCCTGTCAAGTCTGATTGGCTCGGAACAGACTTGTGCTAATGAAGGGTAGAACTATTCAGGACAACCTTCCTATGGTACGCCTGGTATTCTGCCTATGCTGATGACGTTTCAGTCCTTGTGTCGAGCAGGGCTGA